CTTTTCTTATCAAAATTCGAATTGTCCGAAAAATATTTGCTCATAGCGTGCGTTTTCGGTTGGTCATTGAAAAATACGCAGTTTACATTTCTTTGTCATGCGTAAACAAGTGCAGTTTTTTTTATGAGAAAGTATTAAAAATAAAGACATAAATTGTTTTTCGAACTATAATTAAAGTTAAAATGGGAAAAGCTACTATTCTCAGATTATTGGATCACGAAAAAGTAGACTTTTTCACTCCCAAGGACCATCCAATCGAAATATTTCTAAACAGATAAAACGCAGCTCCAGAAATGCGGATAGATATTTAAAAGATCCAGAGTCATGTGAAAAATACTTTACAGGAAAAAACACTATCTGAACAATCAGTAATAATATATGACGTGGACTGTTCAATCTGACACTCGACTTAATGATTGGTGTTCTGTTGTCTTTAGTGATGAAAAATGTTTTAATTCAGAACGTTTTGACGGCTTTCAAGTTTTATTGTCACGATTTGCGGAAGGATGAGCTATATTTAAGTCGCCACCATAGTCGAGAAGGTGGAGTCATGATGTGGGGTGCCATCACGTTCAAAACATTTTTGGAGTCTGTAATTCCAAAATTAAGTAATCTCTTTGGACCAATTCAACGGATTATTCAACAAGACAATGCTCCTATTCATATCGTTCGAGTAGTAAGGTCGTTTATTTCGAGTCAAAACGTTGACGTCATGACCCCATATTCTCCAGATCCTAACGTAATTGAATAGGTTTGACGCTGGCTAACAAGGAAGGTATAAGAAGGCGGAAAGCAATTCGAAGGTAAGGATACATTAACTGCAACTATTAAACGTGTTGGAGCAAGATTTCCTTAACATACATATATTCCCTATATCATTCTATGAAGGACCGAATATATGAAGTAATTCCTAACAAAGGAGACATTACTGATTACTGAAACTATTATGTTTTTATTTGTAATAAATCAAATGTTAAGTATCATCAAGTACTCAATATTAAAACAACTGTAATGCAAGTAAACGTGCGTCTAACCTAATGACCAGCAGTGTATAGCCAAATCGGTCTTCCTGTTCGTTTCAAACTATCTTTTTAGCTTAAACGAGTATGGGAGCATTAAATATCTGAACGTAATTTTTAGGGTGGTATTAAGGCTGTGGTTCAAACTGATATATGGCAAACATTGGTTATGTTCATTGGGATAATAGTTGTCGTCATACTTGGACTGATATGGGCAGGTGGATTTGGACCAGTATTTCAGCACGCTGCTGAAGGCGGACGCATCATTTTTGCTAAGTAAGTCCAAATAATCATTGAAAGAAGTACTTAATTCCGATGGTTCGATCGTTTGCATGGCAACTATATGCTAAAGCGATCCGATATGAACAGTTCCTTCGAAGATTATAGCATTGTCTTGGTTAATAATCTATGCCAAATTTCGTAAGGATATTATACATATGAAGTTTTCCTTACAAGAATTTAATTAGCTATATGCTATAATGGCCCGATATCGGAGAAAACAGAGCAGCTAAGTGGACAGAAAAGAACGTGTGAAAAACTTCACATCGATATCTCAAAAAAAGACGAACTATTGCTAAAGACAGCCGCACGGACATGGCTAAATTGACTTAGATCGTTATGCTGCTTTTTTATTTATGTATATACATATTTCATAAAAAAATCGGTGTTTTTAATTTTTTCAAACTTCATGACATTAAGTTTGTTTAGGATTTAAAAATCGACCAATCAGTGCGACAATATAACTTGTTATCCTTCTTATCATCCTTCTATTACAGTGTAACCCCATCACTATATGAGAGACAGTCATTTTGGGCTGTACTGATTGGTGGCTTTTTCTATTGGACCAGTTATAATAGTGTAAATCAGGCTATGGTTCAACGTTACATGTCGCTACCGACTTTGAAAAAAGCTCAGCATTCGATGATCATCTTTACGATCAGTGCTGTAATATTTGTTTCGTTTTGCTGCTTTGCCGGTTTATTGATATTTGACTACTATCGAAACTGTGATCCACTGAGCGTTGGATTTATTTCGGTAAATATTATATTACCTAACCATTATATGTGTATGGTACTCGATAAAAGTGGTTAATTTCTATCTTTCATACAGAATACCGATCAGTTATTACCGATCTATGTAATGCAAACTGTCGGTCATTTACAAGGCATACCGGGTCTCTTTATAGCTGGTGTCTTTGGCGCAGGTTTAAGTTCTTTATCGTTAGGATTTAATTCTACAGCTTTGGTGATCTTTGAGGATATAGTACGTGGCAGTTTTGCAATTAATTTGAGCGAACGCGCTTCAAAAATACTTGTCAACTTCGTAATAATTATCCATGGTGTAATTGCGGTTGCGTTAATTTTTGTACTCGAAAAGTTAAGTGGCATTTTGAGTGTAGTGTCTTCACTTGTGGCCATTGAAAGTAGTACCACGTGTGGTATATTCACACTTGGCATGTTGGTACCTTGGAGCACTACAAAAGGTGCTTTAGCTGGCGCTGCAGCGGGCGCAATTATGTCAGGTTGGGTGTCTTTTGGCACACAAGCAGCAACAGCAAGCGGTCAACTTGGTTCGCATATGTTAGAAGTTTTCGTATCGGAATGTCCCAATAATTCCACAATAACTGTACCCGGTTATGTTGATGAGTCGGACGTATTTCCTTTGTATCGTTTATCATATCATTGGATACCTGTGATTGGTGTTTTATCAACATTGCTGGTTGGCACTGTCACTTCATTTCTTTGCGGACCAAAGGACTTGAAAACGTTGGACGCAGTTGTAATATCACCTGTAATTCATAGGTAAGAGGCTATTCCTATACACGCGAGTTCGAAAGTTTTAGTGTTGGATGTAAGAAGGTCCGATGGGTGGCGGGACGGGTTTTTGTTACAAAATTTGTTATTTAGTTTAGTATCTATTAATATTTACTTTTTTCGACACAGATTTTTACCGAAGGAGTGTTTCAATGCTACACCTACTGCAAGCCCTACATTATCCCGAGGTAAATCTGAGCGAACATCAACTTATATTTCGAATAACTCCAAACACACGAGCGCTACGGAGAAATACTAAAATAAATAGATTAAATAAACTTTGTAGATATACATAAAACTCTGTACTTCTTAAAACCTTTTTTCATTTGGAAAAATAAAAATAAAATAAAAAGAAGTTGAAGCTTATTTTTGAACCAACTCTAATTTGTCAGATTAGATTTGGCAACTACGGTTCCATATCACAGAGCCATATTCTATTATAGTTCAAGTTGTATTGTATTTAAAGCAATTGGTTTTGATTTACTTGTATATTACAATGACGGAAATTTTGGGGTCAAAACTTATGTAATGGGCAATGATAAAGCCTTCTTGGTCACACAAAACTATAGGAACTTCTACTCTACCATTTTTAGATATAATTATTCAAGGAATAAAGAATCTAGAAACATCTAGACAGGCCAATATTGTCCGATTAGTTCAGCACAGCTTCCTGTTTTTATACTCTCGCAACAAAGTGGCTAAGGAGAGTATTATAGTTTTGTTCACATAACGGTTGTTTGTAAGTCCAAAAAATAAAAGAGTCAGATGTAGGGTTATATATACCAAAGTGATCAGGGTGACGAGTAGAGTTGAAATCCGGATGTCTGTCTGTCTGTCCGTCCGTCCGTCCATCCGTGCAAGCTGCAACTTGAGTAAAAATTGAGATATCATGATGAAACTTGGTACACGTATTTCTTGGCTCTATAAGAAGGTAATTTCGAAGATGAGCAAAATCGTCCCACTGCCACGCCCACAAAATGGCGAAAACCAAAAACATATAAAGTGTCATAACTAAGCCATAAGTAAAGATATTAAAGTGAAATTTGGCACAAAGGATCGCAGTAGGGAGGGGCATATTTGGACGTAATCTTTTTGGTTCGGTCCAGGCATTTTTTTTAAATTTAAAATGGTCTCCCACTTATGGACCAAAAACCATATCTCAGGAACTACTCGACAGATTTCAATGAAATTCGGTATATAATATTTTCATGAGCAGCCACCTTAACATGAAGTCACTTCATGACTTCCAAAACATATCACTTTGCGGTGCGAATGTCACCTAAGCACTGGCTAGGCAGGGTGCCTGCTTTATCACCTAAGCACTGGCAAGGCAGGGTGCCTGCTTTTCTTTTGTAGAGCTAGCTAGCATTAACATGAAGTCACTTTGTGACATCCAAAAAATATCACATTGTGGCGCGAATGGCACCAAAGCACTGGCGAGGCATTATATATTAAAACATTTACGGGACGGGGCCAAGCCCACTGTTGAAGAAGCTTTGTCCCTCGCTACACGTTTTAAGCTTAATGGCATTTTGTGGGCGTGACCATCAACCGATTCCGCACATTTATAATACTAATCCCCTTGGATATCAATGAACACGTGCACAAATTTTCATCAAGATATTTTAATTTTTACTAAATTACTCGATTAGTTTTAGGTGATACAAAGAATCGTTGGACAAAAATTATATTTTCAGTTGTAACATGTTGCGAAATTATTATATAAAAAATAAAATCCTTTAATTAATACATACACTTGAAAAGTACTTTTTAAATAAACTCATTTTATCGTGTATACTATTTTCTAAAATTTTTTATTTAAAATTAATATGTATAATTTTGTAAAGTGCAACAAACGAAGATGTCACAGTGGTGGCTAATTATTTAATTAACCCTTTACAATAGAAACTTTTCTTAACGAAATAAATGCTCTCAAATTCACACAACACTCAGCGAGCTCTATACAATCACAACAAATTTCAATATATTGAGAAATTTTCTATATATTCATGTAAATGTGAGTGTGTGGCTATAATATGCATATTGCGCTCAATACTTGGTACATGGTCCAAAGTTGAAAATCGGCCAGCTCAAAAACGCTACCCATTTCCATTTGGCACAATTGATGCTCACACTCTCTCTGTGTTTCTCAGTGGCCTTTTGCCCGGCTTCGGTCCACAATGTGCTTAGTACATTTTGATTTGTTGATTTGCGTGGTTCTTTGAATCACTCGAGTGAGCAGCGTTGCTTTTGCAAGCGACGTAATCATAGATTTTCGCTATTATTACCTTACGTGAGATATAAAAACCGTCTCAGTCAGTTTTACCATCCACGTTGTCGCTGCAGTGTGCTTCCAACCTTCAGTAAACACGCGTTGCTCTATCCGACGACAGCACACATAGTTCCACCATCGGCTGTCATTTTGACTTTTGACTTACATACAAATTTTATTTCTACTTAACTGAGCTGTTTCTTCGTGGCATTCGAATTATTGGAAAATTGTTGAAACAAATTGCTAAAGATTGCAACAAATCAAAGAAAATATACAAAAATAATAATAATAATCGCAACCAAATCTATGTGCGCATGACGTGTGGACAAATTTTCGTAGTGTGTTGTCGGCGAAGAGCGATTGTTAGCTAATTCACTCAAAACAAAATATTATATATGTACATATATTTACACATACGTATGTGTATATGTGAATGCGTGTGGGCAACGTCACTGTCGGCACTTTTGTATTTTGCTGCAATTAATAGCTTTCGAAAAACTCGATAAATATTGAAATAGCAGCAGAAGAAAGTTTTGAAGTGATTATATAAAACTGGTTTGATTGAGAATTATTTATAAACTTGTGCTGACAACAACGCGACACGTTGAATAATTTGTGTCCATACATATATTTATGTACGTATGAGTTTAATCGCTTTTGGCTAGCGTTTTAGTGCAACTAAGTGATCACAAAGCAACGGTGCTTCCGATTTAGTACCTCCCCTCAACTTTGTAAATAAACAAAACAAAGTCGCGTGGTTCAACGTTATCACTACATAAAATGTCACACAAGGTAAAAGAGATCAAAAGCAATAACAAAAAATTTTAAAAATATACAGGAAAATTTAAAAATACAAACGAGTGAAAATAACGAACGTTATCAGTGTGCAAAAATCAAGAAAATATGTATTCTGTATTTATTTATGTTTTGAACTCAGGTTTTTGATAAAATTTTGGAATGTTTCGATTTGTTAACAGATATGCAATTCGTACGGAAAATGTTTGAAATGTATAAAGAATGTTTACCAATATTGTTTCCATATCACATTTTGTTCTTAATACAAGTAGATGCCAATTGTTAATTAATTTCTATGTTTAAAAATAAAATTACAAATATTTTTGTTTGTTAAAAAATAAATAATTACAATACAAAA